GCTGGCCTGCGTCCAAATGCTAGTTCTAATGGAATGAGTCCTCGGTATGTCACGCGTGCGGTTGCTGCTGCCTTCACAGGTGGCTTGTATGGCCTTCAGTGAGGCTGGTGCTACTAGAGAAACAGGTCTGGTGTCAAGATCAGTTGTTCTCTCTACCACTTCTGTGGTTAGAAGTGTTGTGGCTCCATCAAGGATCGCTACTTCAAGTTGTATTTTCCGCCGGTGACAACCCGCGTTTACCGCAAGCAGGTTCGCGCTTTCCGCCGCGCGTCTGGGTGGAGGGGGCTAAGAGTGTTCATAGCAGGCTTGACTTAGTTATATTGTCCACCAGTGGCAGGTCGCTGCGCAGGTGCGTGCTTCTTGCCGTGCGTCCGTGTTCGCGCAGGCGTGCTGTGCGCAGGCGTGCTGTGCGCAGGTCCTTTCTCTTTTGATGCAGGCGAAGGAAAGCGCTTGATCTCCTTGGTTGCTCTGTCCTGTCGCGCGGTTAGGAAGGTTACGCGTGAGACTTGTTGGTTTCAATCAATCTTTTTCAGTTTGGCGCCAGGACCACGAAGACTACCTGCACAAACACCAAGGTTATTCCAGGTGACCTGAGAATGTTTTGATCAAATCCATAATCAACTTAGGAGCGCATATCTTGGATGACTGAGGGTTCTGAATGGACCAAGGTCCACAAACTGGTGCAGACCGTCTGATGTCCTTTTGACGTCATGATGTCAAGACCAGTTCGAATCTCAATCGGTGTGGCGACCTTTAACCTGCTGGCGCACAGCGTTGACTGAAGTGAGCGCTACCGAGGTTGCAAACTGAGCTTTGCAACTGTAATCCTCTGTGTGCAAACCTGAGGAGGAAGCTGCCGCTGCTTCTGCGGAACTTGGGTTGATCCGGTGTTGTCTTTTTGGTTATTCACTTGACTGGTCGTTCTGCTGACTTGGCTTGTTCTAGTAGGTCTTTATGAAGATCATCGTCGGAGGATGGCAGGTCCAGTCCAGGTCTGGATGGCGACTTGGTTTCATCTTTCCTCAGCTTGGTGATGTTGACCTTGAGCAGTCTGGTTCCAAGGTCTATGCCAACCATAGTGCCATCTGTGGATATCACCTTGCCCCTTCTTTAGCCACATTCCTCCTTTCAAGCCGTCAGGTTTGATCCTGGGTTTCTCCTCACCCCAGTAGAGAACTCTGTCGCCAATTCCGATCGGCTTTGGGCTGAGGCGCAGGTGCTGCGCGAGGTCCCGTCGGACATCTTCAGATTGTCGAGCCTCTTGATAAGATTGTTGCGCAATTAGCCGAATTTGTCCAGCAGTCAGCTCTTCTTCCGTCTTTGGAATAGTGCGTTGGTGGTGTAGCTGTGTCCAATTGGACAAGCTCTGCTGGCCTGCGTCCAAATGCTAGTTCTAATGGAATGAGTCCTCGGTATGTCACGCGTGCGGTTGCCGCTGCCTTCACAGGTTGCTTGTATGGCCTTCAGTGAGGCTGGTGCTACTAGAGAAACAGGTCTGGTGTCAAGATCAGTTGTTCTCTCTACCACTTCTGTGGTTAGAAGTGTTGTGGCTCCATCAAGGATCGCTACTTCAAGTTGTATTTTCCGCCAGTGACAACCCGCGTTTACCGCAAGCAGGTTCGCGCTTTCCGCCGCGCGTCTGGGTGGAGGGGGCTAAGAGTGTTCATAGCAGGCTTGACTTAGTTCTATTGTCCACCAGTGGCAGGTCGCTGCGCAGGTGCGTGCTTCTTGCCGTGCGTCCGTGTTCGCGCAGGCGTGCTGTGCGCAGGCGTGCTGTGCGCAGGTCCTTTCTCTTTTGATGCAGGCGAAGGAAAGTGCTTGATCTCCTTGGTTGCTCTGTCCTGTCGCGCGGTTAGGAAGGTTACACGTGAGACTTGTTGGTTTCAAACAAACTTTTCAGTTTGGCGCCAGGATCACGAAGACTAATCAGGTTTGATCCTGGGTTTCTCCTCACCCCAGTAGAGAACTCTGTCGCCAATTCCGATCGGCTTTGGGCTGAGGCGCAGGTGCTGCGCGAGGTCCCGTCGGACATCTTCAGATTGTCGAGCCTCTTGATAAGATTGTTGCGCAATTAGCCGAATTTGTCCAGCAGTCAGCTCTTCTTCCGTCTTTGGAATAGTGCGTTGGTGGTGTAGCTGTGTCCAATTGGACAAGCTCTGCTGGCCTGCGTCCAAATGCTAGTTCTAATGGAATGAGTCCTCGGTATGTCACGCGTGCGGTTGCCGCTGCCTTCACAGGTTGCTTGTATGGCCTTCAGTGAGGCTGGTGCTACTAGAGAAACAGGTCTGGTGTCAAGATCAGTTGTTCTCTCTACCACTTCTGTGGTTAGAAGTGTTGTGGCTCCATCAAGGATCGCTACTTCAAGTTGTATTTTCCGCCAGTGACAACCCGCGTTTACCGCAAGCAGGTTCGCGCTTTCCGCCGCGCGTCTGGGTGGAGGGGGCTAAGAGTGTTCATAGCAGGCTTGACTTAGTTCTATTGTCCACCAGTGGCAGGTCGCTGCGCAGGTGCGTGCTTCTTGCCGTGCGTCCGTGTTCGCGCAGGCGTGCTGTGCGCAGGCGTGCTGTGCGCAGGTCCTTTCTCTTTTGATGCAGGCGAAGGAAAGTGCTTGATCTCCTTGGTTGCTCTGTCCTGTTTAGGAAGGTTAAACGTGAGACTTGTTGGTTTCAAACAAACTTTTCAGTTTGGCGCCAGGATCACGAAGACTAATCAGGTTTGATCCTGGGTTTCTCCTCACCCCAGTAGAGAACTCTGTCGCCAATTCCGATTGGCTTTGGGCTGAGGCGCAGGTGCTGCGCGAGGTCCCGTCGGACATCTTCAGATTGTCGAGCCTCTTGATAAGATTGTTGCGCAATTAGCCGAATCTGTCCAGCAGTCAGCTCTTCTTCCGTCTTTGGAATAGTGCGTTGGTGGTGTAGCTGTGTCCAATTGGACAAGCTCTGCTGGCCTGCGTCCAAATGCTAGTTCTAATGGAATGAGTCCTCGGTATGTCACGCGTGCGGTTGCTGCTGCCTTCACAGGTTGCTTGTGTGGCCTTCAGCGAGGCTGGTGCTACTAGAGAAACAGGTCTGGTGTCAAGATCAGTTGTTCTCTCTACCACTTCTGTGGTTAGAAGTGTTGTGGCTCCATCAAGGATCACTACTTCAAGTTGTATTTCCGCCAGTGACAACCCGCGTTTACCGCAAGCAGGTTCGCGCTTTCCGCCGCGCGTCTTGTTGGAGGGGGGTAAGGGTGTTCATAGCAGGCTTGACTTAGTTATACTGTCCACCAGTGGCAGGTCGCTGCGCAGGTGCGTGCTTCTTGCCGTGCGTCCGTGTTTGGGCAGGCGTGCTGTGCGCAGGTCCTTTCTCTTTTGATGCAGGCGAAGGAAAGCGCTTGATCTCCTTGTTTGCTCGTCCTGTCGCGCGCGCGCGCGTCGCCGCGTGACATCCATTAGCAGGATGATGGAATAGCAGGGACCAACGGCCAAGACAAGGATGTATCCCGGCAATCGTTAACTCACTATTTGTCACTGGAACCAGGAACAACTACTTGTTTTGATGGCAATCATAGTGATGCCCATATTGTAAACCTTTATTGTCAGCTTGGCAGAACCAAAAGTCAATAAAGTATGATTATGCTGCTCACTTCCAACCGACGCAACACGCCTTGATCTGAAAGGTTTTTGAACGTGGTTCCAAAACAGAGGTCGGCGTTGCGGAGGCCTGCTTTTTTTTCACATATCATAGTTTGTGTGTTTTCAGGCATTAATTTCAACAGCAAACATCTGGTTCCCTCCACAACGCTTCTCCCAAAAAATCAGTGAAAAACGGCTGGGCGTAGTTGTAAGAGTAAATTACGCGTTACATTTTCTAGAGCCGACCCGTGCAAGGAGCGCTCCGGGGGGGGGGGGGCGGGGGGAACCAAAAAAAAGAATCAGTGTTTAAGTTCGTTTCTCGTTTCGCTCCAGGAGTCCCCAGACTCAGCCCAGGATCACTGGGACCCAGTAGGTTGTCGGATTTGGGTCACCGTTTATTCCCGACAGGCCTTGGCCCCTACTGATTCAGTTTCTTGACCAAATCACTTTATTCATAAATTGCCACGTGCGTGTTATCAGCTCGTACGCTTGGTTCGCGTGTGGAGCTTGAGGAACTGCATGAAAGCGCCAAAAGGACAAGGTTGTGGTGCTACTGATGATGCAAGCTTGGCAGCAGTTGCGAAAAGCAGTATCATCTACACTATTTTCTGCAACTGGCACCCACATAAATGGTTGCATTGCCTTCTCCTTGAATGAAGCAGCACATGTGGCAACGAGGGGCTTGGTTGCGCTGGGGCTATGGCTCCAGAAAACGAATTGTATGCGTGTCCATTGCTCGCGCATTTTATGGTAAAGCGTTAGGATAGAACAGGAAAGAGCGTGTTTGTGCACATACGGCAACGTCTGCCACAGGTTAGGCCGCTGTGCAGCAGTGCGTCAGGCTGCTGCTTGCTAGTGGTTAATGTGCAGAGTTTGTCCTAGCGCCAGTAGACCAGGAATCTACACCATCAGGGAGGGGTCCGCGAGGTAAGAGATATTCCCATTTGCAGCTTCCAGAAAACAATTTCAGTTGTTTTTTTGGCAACCCAAGAAACCTTACACCTTATGCTCATAGAGAAACACAAGGCCTCCACAGCGTCCCACACACATTCTAGAGTTCAACTTTTGACTCCTACGTCCTGCGGTTGCGAGTGAGCGAAGGCGAAAGTGAAGTCAGGGATGGCTCCCTTAAGCTCTGCGCGCTGGACTGGCCTTAGAGTCGGTGGAGTTTCAGTAGTATTATTTAGTTAGTTTGGCTTTGAGACAAGCCCACCCCTTTCCAAGTTCATTCCGAAGCAAGTGTTGGCCTTTGGTTTTCCCAGTGGTTTGTCATTTGTGTCAAGGTTCCCAAAAGGTCCATCATGTATTTCCAGGTCTTCTGCTTGAAAGCTTCCGCGCCCGGAGTTCTAAGACTTCTTAAGGCCTTGTTTCATCCACGCCGCAGGCGTCAGGAAAGTTGACACCAAGAAGGGCGACCCGGATGTCGAGGCAGCCTGAATGAGACGCACAGACACAAAGCTGAGGTTTGGAGGGGTTGTAACGTCAAGTAAAATTTCACACTTTCAAAGAACAAATGAGACCTGGTGGACATGGTGGGGAAGCCACTTGTGAGGTGGTTCCGACTGAGGCAGCGCTCCGTCAGCTCCGCGGGGCTCCGAGGCCAGCCCTCTCAGGGGAGGCGCTGCTGCGGGAGGCTGGCTCGACCTCTCCGTGCTTTGACAGGTTGGTAGGTCAACCTCTTAAGAAACGAATTTCACTGGCGTAATCGCTTTCCTGTGCAAATTAAATCGTGACTGACCCTGGGCTGCAAGATGAAGGCTGCTTTGACTTCCATCGCAGCCCCGAGATGAGTGCTTATGGTTCCCCTCCCTCTTTCTGGGGCGCAGCGTGCAACTTTGCATCCCTTGCGTTACCTGCATCTCTGCATCCCCAGCAGCAATTGTTCATGTTCCAATGATGCGCACCAGCTGCCGAAAAGGCCAGAGTTGCGAAAGGGACGGATGAGGCTGCGAGCAGCTGTTGTTGCAGATTGTCCAGGCGGTTGCGCGCCTGTAACACCCCTCTCAGGGACTAGTCCTTTACCGCGCATCCCTCCTCGGATCGCTTCTGCAAGTGCCGGAGGAGGCGCGGAAAAAGCTGTTGATGGAGCCGGCAGAAAGTCTATCAACAATCTGGAGGAGTTTTGAGAAGAAAGAAGTGTTTGGCCGCACCTTGGAGTTGAAGTGCCAAGGTTCTCCAGCGGCGTGCCTACGCAGCGACAAGGGCAAGGAGTTCATGAACCAAGCCTTGCGCCGCTGGTGCTTCAACCATCAAAACAAGTGCTGCAGCGGAGTGTGTGTCAAGCGATGGAAGTCGAGGGTGAGAGGGGCCACTTTGCGGCCGAAATGGATGGCGCAGGGTGGTGCTGAGGCAGAGAAGGGCGGAGTCATGAGGAGGTGTTGATCAAGAAGAGGAAGCGAAGGAGCTTGGTCCTGCGAAAAGTACACTTTGGCAGTTCGTGGAGAGAAGGTGGTGCGGAGCTCATGCTGGAGGGAGATGAACTTGGACGGGGGGAAGGTTGCAATGAAGAAGCAAAGGCTTTGGGCACGAGTAGCTGGAGAACAGAACCAGGGCGCAAGTCTTGCTGGGCGAGAACGAGGGAGATTCCCACGACGGCGCCGACATCCGCGGTTTTCCGGCTGGCTTTGAGGGAGGCGGCGACGTGCGACGTGAGCTTTCCAGAGCCCAGACAAGAGGCTGAAGGAAGATGGGAGTGCGGAGGGAAGGCAAGTTGGTGCAGCTGGGGATGGGCGAGTAGCCGGCGTTGCCAGCCAACCAAACTGCAAGAAACAAAACATTTAGCATCCTGGTACCCATCTTCAAGCTGGCTCAGATGAGGGAGGGATGAGGGGCCGAACAGCCTGTAGGAGTCCCCGGAGCTGTTCTTCAACGTGAGAGAGCGTGTTGTTCACCTCCGACGTAGCGTGCTTCGAGAAGGAGGATGCGACGGAGGACCAGGCAGTGTAAGACTGGGAGCCGATGGCGGCGACGCGCGATTTGGCGAGAACACCCGCGACTTGTTGGCCTGGCTGCATCTGGCATCGTCAGATGCCGTGTGCGCAAAAGGGTGTCCAACGCGCGTCGTTGGATTGTCTAAGGTGGACAGCCTACGATCGGTGCAGGAGGCGCAGCGAGGAGGTTTGTGCGCGCCCCGCAGCTTGGGCGGACCGGCGGGGGCTTTTTAGCAGGCGCAACCTTCAAACGCGGGACGCAGTTCAAACTCACCCGGCCATGGTTGAAGCATGGCCGCTATGTGAATTGTTTTTCGGCGAGTTTGCCTGCGCTCTGTCGTTCAGGCGCAGGAGCTCCTTTCGCGCCTGGAGGCAGAAGAATTCCTTCGAGAGCTGGAGACTGAGGAGGAGCCGTGGGTTTCTCAAGTAGGACATGCCTTGTTTGCTTACCTTTGCAGATCACATACAGCCTAAGTTGCAGCACCGGGTTGTGCCATGCCAGAATCCGTTCATTTCTTTCTTAAGGACATGTTTCCGCAGTCCTACCCCTGGGCTGCATGAGTGTAAGCCGTTTTTTGTTTGCCGCTATTGGCAAAAGGGGGTTAGACATAGTGCGCGCTGAAAAAAAGGCGCTTCAATTGAGTGAAATGCCATCACCCAAACCCAAGCCCTTTGAACGCTCCATCATCTGTATCGACCCATCAATATCGACCCAGGTTGATCTGGCAGATTTCTGAGGTGGTGTTGCTCCGCCAATGTGAAAATGCCCCTCAACATCATGGTTCCATTTGATCGTAGGGGTCTGCGGCGCACTCGCGTAGGCCCGCTCAGGCGCAGGCGCGCTCCATTTGAGGATCGCGGGCGCGCTGAACCTAGCGGCGCGCGCCTGAGCGTGCTTGATCCGTGGGTTGTACCTCTGTGCGCGCGCCCGCAGTCCCGGATTTCTGGATTGAGTCTTGCCCGCGGCCCTGACGCGCCGGCGCCCAGAATTGCGATCCCGGTTGCCGCCTGCAGTCTCAGGGTTAGGGTTGAGCGCATCTGCAATCCCACGCCTGTGATCTCTCCTCAAAGTGCTAGGTTGCGCTGGCCCGGGAGTGCGAAAAACTTCAGGACACGCCCCAGCCCTTGTCAGCTCCAACATAGATGTCGTTTGTTGCACAGAAAGCGTGACGTCTTGCAAGTAGATGGCATGTACTAACTTTCTTTTACCTTAAAACAGTTTGTGACCGCCTTTGGATGGTAGCGGAGCTGGAATAGCCAGCGCCTTGCGGCGGCCCCGGCTGAGCTAGCGCAGTTAAGCTCAGACTGGTGGTGGTCTGTGGAACAATTTGTGTGTGTTGCGCGCTGCCTTAGGCGCACCGGCCGGTCCCTCTCAGATGCAAGGAGGAAGAGAGGTGTTTTCTATATGGAGTTTTTGAATAGTGATTTGTTCGTTCTGAAGGGAGTAGAAGATTCAGACAAATCTGAGGTTTTGCGGCAGTTGTTCGACGCTTCTTCACGCATCCGCGCGTTTGCAAATTTGAATGAATTGGCCAGAGTTTCAGACGACCCAGCCAGTTACCAAAGATTCTCACGAGATGTCTGCTGCGCGTGCCAAAGTGGTCGTGAGCGTGACAGCAAAGGCAAAGTGGACTTCAGCTTAAACTTAAGCCACTGGACAGGCCAGTGTCAGCCAGCAGGACGACCCCCTACCTGGATCCCACAGTCGTGGTGCGACAACAACAAAGAAAGGAAGGATGGAATCAGAAAAAGGGCCCAAAGGTAAGGGTGAGAAAGGAAGGGGCAGATCGCGTGCCGCAGATGCGGCAAGCCTGGTCAATGGCTGCGGACTGTTGCAATGTTCGGCAGGTTCAAGCAGGCAACCACAGCAACACAGCCAGCAGCATCGTCAGCAGGAAACACCACGAGCGACGCGTCAGATGCTGGGCAAGAGGAATTTGAATGATGTTCCGGTGTTGGAGAGTCCACTCGGCTCGCTAGATCTGTCAGGCGGCTGGGCAAAGAGTGGACAGGCATGTGAAGGCACTTTGCATAAGGACGTTTCCGAAGTTGCATCGTTGACACCAGATGAAGGAGCTGCTGAGACCGCAGCTCCATTTACGCCCCACACGCGCTCGTGTCATGCCTCCCTCATTGGGCATGCAGATGACTGCTTGATGATGGCAGATCATCCTTGCACACTGGATTTTCTTCAGAAGCTCGGACGCATCGCCTTCACGCACCAGATGAAGAAGGTGTAGAGAAGCCCAGAGTTGCATGGCCCCTGATTTCTTCAATCCTGACAACACCAGCAAGCTGAATAGGAGCAGGCAGACCAATGAAGAAGGTTCTGCTTGTACATCCATCACGACCGACATGATCGTATTTGAAGACACCCGCTCAGAAACCGTTTGGAGGAGCGTTGCGCGTTGAGGTATTCACTGTTGACAAAGTTTTGGCTTCTGAGGTCGGCCTTTACTGCCTGTTTGATCAGCAATCAATCGTGCGCCAACCCCGTTTCGATCCGCTGTGCGATGCAGACTGAGGCTTCGCCGAAATGTTGGGAGCGCATGCAGACTGTGTCCGTTTGGTGTGGTCTAACACCTTGCTTCTGATTGAAAACCATTCAGTCTTCCAGGGCCGATCGTCCAGGGCTGGCTCGGCTCTCTCTAGGGTAGCGGAGCTGCTTTGTTCAACTAAGCTTAAATCAGGTTATCAAGTCAGACATCGCCGATTTCCTGCTGAGCGTGGTGCCTAAGGAAGATGTTGCTCCAGCGCTCGCTCAGCCGGGGGGTCCTGCGGCGTGATTATCCCAACACCGGAGCATCAGCTGCCCTATGTGGCATTTCCTGTGCCTCCGGTGATTGCAGAACAGCAGCTTCGGCAGCCAGGAAATATGTGGACCTGTTACAGTTTTGTTTCAGGCCGTCGCCGGGGTATGGACAGCATACTTTGCTACGAAGTGCTTTCCACAGGCAGAACGCATACACACGCATCGCGAACTTGAATATGTAGTAGACCGATTGCGTGCCATCATGAGCTGTTCAGATCCACAAGATCACTTGTGTAGGGGTGATTTTGAGCTCGTTTGCGTCTCGGCACAGCTTGCTGACTCAGAAGTTTGCGCAAGTAAGACCAGGTCCCATTAGGACATAGTAAGACTGCCCACACAACTTGATATGTAGTATGCGGTTGGTAAGCACTGCGTAGATGCAGATGCAGGTTGTCTCCAACCGGCCTGGACTGAACGACATGCCTTCGCATCAAACGCCCTGCAGTACGTGCAGCCATGGAAAGCGAAAATTGCCCAAATTCGTTAAAAGTCTGTGTGGCAGTGACCCAAGGCATCCTGCCCAATAGTGGCAACACCCGCCGGGAAAATTTGGACTCATCTGAGGTATCACTTGGCACGCGACAACCTAGCGCAAACACGCATGCAACTTTCCCAGCATTCTGAACCAGAGCCAAAGTCAATTGGGAGAATATTTTGGAAAGATATGATGAAGGCTGCCTCTGGGTGCACGTAACCTAAGAGATGAGCCACGCCGCAGTCGTCTAGCTTCTTCGTGTAACTTCAAGCGAAGCACATCCAGTTCTTGTTCTGGGGTGCAATATTTAGTTTGCGGAGTCTTTTAAAAGATTAGTACTTCTGTGGCTGACAATGCAGAAGTTAAAGTGCCAGGTAGGACCGGATAAGGGAGCGCCCAGCCCTCGTTTTTCACCAATTTTGGCTTTCTTTTTCGGATTTTTTCGTGATTTGGGCGGGGGAGGGTTGTTTGCCTCTGGCGGATGTCGACACGGCGGGCGCCGCAGGGTGGTGCGTCAAGTAGGGTTGCAAAAAAACAACACTGACGCAGATTGGAGTGGATCCTGGAACAAGACAACAAGCTCAGCGACTCATGCGATCTGCGGAGTCATTGTTCACAGTGCAAACAGATCGCAGCATACAATTTCACTTTCCAGCGGCTGAGGCAGCGTGGCACGCGAGCGCTCTGTGTCAGGTACTGTGCAGAGTTTGAATGTGGCGCGGGGTGAACAGTTGAGCTGAAATTGGACAACGCAGGTGCAGGATGGATGCGCTCAAGAAGAAGGCTTAAGCGTATACGAGAGATATTTGTGGCTGCAACAAGCTGTTTCAGAGGAGAGTTTGAGCCTGAGACTTCGACTCATGGGATTGCAGCACATGATGAACTGCGTAACGGATGAGTTTCACGACGTGTTGGAGAAGAGGCAAGCCCAAACGGAAACCAGGCTGCGCAATGCAATCATGGCGGCTGCGGCGGTTGTTGCGGACATTCAGGCGCTGCTGCTTGGATCGTTTGACTCAGTGGTGCAGCCACGGATGCATTTGTAATGAGAGGTGTTTCTGTGTTGTTTTCAATATGCATGTGTGTTGCAATTATGACACGATGGCAGCAGCAGATTGTAAAGATTTAGAATATGTGTTGAATCGCTGAGATTGATGCGCGCCACGCCCTGGATGGTGAATTTGGTCCAAATGCGGATCGCTTGATATTTGTTGACGCCACAGCAAACGCATTTGGACCAACAATTGCGCATGTTGTCCTTGACAGCAGAGACAATAGATTCAAAGCAGTAGGCGCGCTACAGGGGGCTCCGGACAATGCTGATTCTCCTGAGCGGACGATGCAAGATTAGAGTTCAGACGCAGGTTGCGTGTACAGTCTTCAAAGAAGCTTTCACGCCATCAGCGTGGCATGCTGTGCATTTTGAGATTTGTCTCACATGCTGCCAGAACTTGGCGTGAAGCAGCGTATCGCAAGTTTCACTTTGGGACCAGGCAGGAACACGACAAAGGCGGGGTGCAACGCATTTCAGGACACACCCAGATGTCATTTGCTGCACAGACTACTTTGCGTGAACTAACTTGTGAAGAGCTCAAAACAGTTTGCGCGCACCTTTGGAGGAGAAAGCCCGCCGGTGATGGGCGCGCCTGATTTCAGGTTGAGTGCGGTCCTAGGTTTTGAGCCGGGATCGAGCACGCCTGCCACCCCAGGACCGAGCACGCCTGCGGTCCCAGGATTGAGCGCGTGCGACGCGTAGGTTGAGCGCGTCGCAGTTTCAAAATTTGGCCCGGCTTAACCGCGCCGTACCTGCGATCCCAGGATTCAGTGCTGGGTCCCAGGATTGCGCGCGCGGCTGCGATCCCAGCATCGAGTGCGTGCGATCCCAGGAGTGCGAGGGCAACTGTGCATCGCCATGCTGGGATTGAGCGCGATCCCAGGAGCGAACCCTGGATTGAGCGAACCCAGGCTTTAAACCCAGTATTTAACGGGCGATCGGGACATCTGGAAGCCTGGGTTGAGCGTGCTGGAGTCATGGATCACGCTTGGAGCCTCGCAATCGGCCATCCGTCGCTTGGAGGTGATGTCTGGGGAACGCGTTGATGGTACACAAAGATATCGCAATCGTTTGCAGCCGTTCCACGAACTGTGCCATCTGGGTCATGTGGGTTCTGCCTGATCAACTCTCTGAGCTGTTCCATCGTCTTCTGAAGCTTCTGCGCAAGTGAGTTGTGAATAGCGAGTGGTTGAAGCGCTCGATGGATCGGAAGCTCTTGAATCTTGACTGTAGTGGTGCCACTGGTCAATCTGCATTCCGCATCGATGGCTGCCCATGAGTTTTTTGAGTGAGACGCACTGTCCAGAAAGTGTTTGAGGCGTCGCATCAGAATATGTGCAAGACCTTGGCAGAAACTACACGGACAGACCTGAGCCAACCTTGTTACGCTTTCAACAGTTCCTGCGTCGCCTTGTATGGGTTGGTGCGAATGGTTTGGTGAACTTGTAGTTTTGGAAACGTCTGAAACCCTCCCTTAGCAGACTGTGAAGCAAACTGGTGGCCTGAAACTTAAACCTTGCCCCAAACCCCAAACCAACCCTGAACCAATCCTATGCCTATCCTCAAGTAGCCCTCAACCAGCCTTCAGCCAAACCAGCCCTAAAGAAAGGAGCAAGAGCCTGACACTTACCCCCAAACCAATCCCAAACCAATCCCCAACCAACAGCCCTCCCGCACTGACCGCAGGACCGCTACAGGCCCGCCCCAAAACTTAACTCTGTCGGAGTCAACAAAACCTTTGCCAACCTCAAGTACTCCCCAGACTGCCGGAGCACTAGAGGAGCGCTACAGCCCCTCAAGCTAGCCCGCCCCGACTCCAAAACCTTCAGCCAAAGCCAGCCCCCAAAACTTAAGCCCGACCCCGAACCAACAAAACCAATCCCAAACCCATCCTCAAATTTCCTTCGCAATCGCGAACCATTCCTCAAGGTTCCCTCCACCGAAGCAATCCTCAAGCAATCATCGACCAGCCTAAGCCATAAACCAATCCCAAACCCAAGCCTCAACCAGCCCTAAGCCAAAGCCAACCCAACCAACCAACCCTCAACCAGCCCCCAAGCTGGGACTAGAAACCCGCCCCAAAACTCAAACCTTGTCCAAAACCAGCCCTCAACCACACCAACCCTCAAGCAAGCCCGCCCTGACCGCCGGTGCACTAGAGGACCAGAGCCCCAAGGCCTAAACCCAACCCTTGACCAACCTTGAACACCAAACCAAACCAACCCTAACTCATCTTCAAACTACCCTCAGCCAGTCCTCAACCAAACCAGCCCTCAAGCTAGCCCGTTCTGACTGCATTTGTTCTGTGTTGCCAGGAGCGTGCCCGGCAAGCAGCAGGCGCGGGGGTGGGGGACACCCTATTCTGGTATTGCATATCGGCGATTGGGTTCCATTCGTTCACTTTGGTTCGGACCTATCTAGTTTTAACCAGTGGGACACCTAGTAGGCGTTTGCGCCCTTTTTTGGCACACTGTCAACTTGTGAAGGCGTGGCGAGCGACATCGCTGAACTGTTTGTCGCAGGTGGAGTTTTTGGAAGCGGGTTGACTTGTGTGTGGAGCTGTTGTCAACTGAGATGTGGAACCTCGAACAAGTCTCCCCGCAAGAGGATTCGACAAAAGGAGCGCCCTACTTTGACAAACCCTTGGTTGCTCCAAACAGTTTTGCCTTCAACCGTTTTAGCTTTTGAACACTCAACGGGACAAACTGTTTGAGAAGCTCCAGTGTTCTACGTACTTATCAGCACGAACCCTGTACTAGGCATTTAAACCGCCGCAAGATTGTGCCATGGTAGTGTGTTTGCACGAATATATTGTGCGTGCAAAAAAAGCGGAGCAGACGATAAACTTGCTAGAGCTGGGGAAGGACGGGGGCCGAATTTGCATCGGCGAGGGTGGTGAAATCTACCCACAGGATTGGTCGCAGCCACGATTTCGTGCCAATCAAAGTGCGTGCGTCATGTGACCGCCCCCAGCAATCACCAACTGCCGCAGCCTTGCGCGCGGGTGTTGTGTGAACATGTTCAGCGCCAATTGTCGCAGCTTGCGTGTGTGCGCTGTCCGGCCAGCGTTCACCCACTGCGCGCGCGTGTTTATTTGCAAGCGCTCAGCGCCAGATGCCTGCGGGTGCTTATTATTCCCACCTCCCCCACCCCGCCCCCCCCCAACGTTCACCAGCTGCCACCGCGTCGCGCGTGCCTGTTGTGTGAAAATGTTCAGGGCCAATTGTCATAGCCTTGCGCGCGCGCTGTCCGCTGACCACCAAGCCCCCACCCTGCCCTCCACCAAGGCTTTTGCGTGTGTGTTGTGTGAAAATCTTGCAGCCTTGAGTGCGCGCGCGCGTGTGTGTGTGTGTGTGTGTGTGTATGTGTGTGTGTTCCCGTGTGTGTGTGTGAGTCTGTGTTTGTGTGTCTGTGTTTGTTTGTTTCTTTCTTTCTTTGTTTCTTTCTTTCTTTCTTTCTTTCTTTCTTTCTTTGTTTGAGTGTTTGTGTGTTTGTGTCTGTGTGTGTTTGTGTGTGTGTTTCAACGTCCTGTTGGAGCTCCCTGCTTGTGGAACCGATGCCACAGCCCCTAAGCAATGCCGACGCAACGCGCCGGCGATCCTACCTAGGCAGTCTGAACGATTGTTTCTCCGCACGCTCGGCAAGGTTACTTTTCTAGTTGCGCGTGCTACACTGTAGTGCGCTAACATGAAGGCAAAATCGCATGAAGGTCAACTGCTTTTCGACCTAACAGACGACCGTAGCCGTACGCGTGTGCCGCTCTTGGCTCTGCTTTCTGGAGTCTCGCGAGTGATTCTGGTTGGCAGAGACACACTGCAAGTGTCTGCGGCGATGTGGATCGGACACTGAAGCGCCTTCGGGTGTTTCTATCGCGACTTTACATCCTATCTATTTGGCATTGCTTAAGGAAGCAATATAAGCATATGGGTTGTTGTTGGACTTCGCTGCCAGCACATCCTCCAGCCAGTCTGGTGTTGTTGCGTCCATCCTTGCTCACTTTCATAACAATCGTCCTTGGCACTGGTTCTCCTTAGAACTTCTTGTTGTCCTCGTAGATCTTGACTCTTTCTTCGCATTCCTGATATTGACCATCAGGAGCAGGTGCCAGCGTCGTCTGTTCATCAGCAGCTCGTGGTTTAAATGTTTGACGCGCTTTGTGCTAACAAATCTTGTAGTCTCGGATGGTCGTGAAGATGTCTTGTTCAGCGCATCAAGAATAGGTTTTCTCATGCAGTGTGTTGGCCAGAAGATGGCGTTGAAAAACCCTGGTTTTTTGCACTTTTTGGGGCTAGCCGGCTGCATTCCCATCATTCCCGAAATCTCCGGTATTTTCTGTGTTTGGTCAATTTTGCGTTGAAAGTCTTAAAACTTTGGATGCAAAGGTTGGGTGTGTTTTTGCATGTTGTGTGGTTGCATCCAGCATCCTCAGCATCTGGGACTTCCCAGTTTATTAATAGGGGACTGTCCACTGGCGTCGGCGGATCGCGTAGCGATTTCAATACCAACGGCATTATGTGGCTTCACGAAGTGCAAAAAAACGTCAACGCAACTGTCAGCATCCTGGAAACTGCGCGAACACATCCGGGATGACGAGGGCATTCCACTCACCTTTCAATCCATAAGTTTCATGGTCTGTAGTCACGTGGTCCCCAAGCGACTTTGCTTCAATGGGTGAGGACCCATGTCTACGTTGAGCCTGAGGTGCTTGCATCTTGGCTCTCACACATGTCTCACAAAATGGGTTCTTGGGCCTGTGACTGATCTGTGTTTCTTTCGACTTCTTTGACTTGGGCTCCTTTTCCTCATGAACCTCAGCAACTTCAGCTATCTCTTCGCGTTCCGGCTCAGGTGGTTCATCATCTGGATGAAGTGGAAACAGCGCAACATCCGGCGGAGGTTGCCCCCCGCTTGAGGATGAGGGCCTGTCTGCGCCCCCGATTTTCTGATTGGGTGCTGCAAGTGCGACGGGCATCGCTGACTCTGAAGCAATAACCTCGCACTCATCGTCCATTGCGCATTGCGCTTTCTCCACACAATGTCATATCCCTTTTCCAACGGAAAGAACAGTCGGCGTACTCGGCAGCACATACGAAGTGACAACTTCACCCAATTGATCGACAGAGAAATCTGCAATCTTGTCCGCAACGACTGAATCAGTCGCTGTGGAAAGGCTGGTCGGATCAGACGCTGAATTGATCTGCTTTCGAAGGATAACAGCATGGTCGTTACTAACCAAATCATGCTCGCTGCCTGTGTCAATGATCCATTGGTGAAGTCTGGAAGGTGTTCTTCACAGTCATCACCTTGATCGCAATACGGACAAAACAAACCAGTGTAAAGAGAACCATCTTCATCACAGTCTTCGCAAAGGTATTCACATGGAACCTCGAAACCAGATAACATCAGCTCGAAGACTCCTTGTCAAAACCAACGCTCTGTCTATGGCATCCGAAAGGTCCTTAGGATAAGGCTTTGGCGCGCACCCATTGTACCGGAACAGATCGGGCGCTTTTGGCTTGGCAGCGCGAGGCATGCATAGTCCTCAGCTTCAATCTCAATCGCCTCATCATTTTCGTCTAGCGGCGCACTCTTGTCTGTACTGCAATCATTTGCATTCTGCACGAACATGGTCTGGCCACTCCAAAATTGCTGCAAACTCTCATGAGGCTCTGCCCAGAAATCACCGAAAACCACCTCCTTTCCATTGATGATGGCTTTAGTGATGTGCTCGCCATTCAAAACATCCCAAAGGAACAGGAAGATCTTTCGAAACTAAAGGATCCTACAACGCTCTCCTGGGCATCACATGGTCCTGACGATCATCTCATGCGCTGAGCCAATTTCCCAAAAGTCTTGCCTGGGCCGGCGTGCCGCGAGGCATGCATGAATCCCCTGCTCACGCAGACAAACTGCCGCAGGAGCTTCGCCCTTCTTGCTCTGGGAATGCTTTCTGCCTTTCCACTTTGGAGTAGGAGACCTTCCTCTGCTGTTCTTTCTCGGGCTCTGCTTGCCGCCGCAGCTGTCGATTGCCGGTGCAGCGGCGTTGACTTCATGCGAAAAAGCAAACTTTGCGCCTCTTGCGCGATTCCCCTGACCCCCTTTGAAGAATCGGCAAGGAATCTTCTTCAGCCCCGCTCTCTTTCTCAAAGCTGATCGATCTTGATCCCGACCTTTGCTGTCGGAGCGCCCCCGACCTTTTCCTTTCGCATTTTGGCTTCGGGTCGTTCATCTTTGCATGCTTGCGCCGGCAGTTCTCGCGAGTGCGTTTGCCCTTCTGAAAATCATAGCAATATTTGTGGCAGACGGATCACGTGCTCGAGCTGGATCGCTAGGAGCAGGAGCGCCTACCTTCTGACTGTGTGCTTCACGATTGGCTTGAAGTCGAGAAATCAAATCACGAACTGCTTGAACCAGGAACTCATAGCTTTTGCCATGCGATCCTCTTTTGCGCATTCGTATGTATCCAGGTCGTACTTGGTCTTCTGGCATCCACGAATCTGTCGCAAAACTCTCCAATCTTCATACCGACAATTACGGAATCCCAGTTATGAAGGAAAGATGCCAAATCATTTCCATGAAGTACCACTTTAAGCAAATCTTCAGTGGAACGCGAGGCTCCCGCCTCCTCATTGGTCCTGAAATGCTGTTCGAACATACGGAGAACTTGTCTGCCACGAACGACTCTGCCGACTAAGGTAAGAATCTGTCGACTAAGGTCGCCCCTAGCGATTCGCGACAGCGCAGCAAGAAGCTTTGTATCCAGCGTCTCAAACTGTTCAGGATCTCCGAGTTCACCCATAAGGCGTGCCTTGTCTGACCTTGTTGGGCCAAGCGAAAGCAGCATCAGGTCGATCAGAGGCTGCTTTGATCTCCTCACGTGTAGCTGTCTTCCAAGCGCGGTAGGCCTCAGGAGCTTCCGACTCGCACAACTTGAGGGAATCTGCTTACACACTGGTTGCGGACAAAACTGAGAAGAGCTGCTCTGAACTCCGCCTCAGTCGCAGCAAAGATTCTGCAGTGGTCGGAGCTGCTGCTTGCGGCTGCGACTGATCCCTTTTGCGTGACTCCTCCTGAATGCGCTTGAAGTCTTGGCTATCCACGACAGTGCCACGCCACGCTGCGCGCGGATGCGTCCAGCCTGAGCACCGAACGTCAAGCCGACGCCCATGGATGAGGAGCGCCGGAATAACCGCACCCACCAAGTCAGCCGTCACATGGGCAACCTCTAGATGTATCAAAATGGGGGGCGACTTGAGGAAGAAGATGAAGAAGAAACAGTTCAATTTTTCAATAAGCAGAACAGCAAAGAGTCCCAGCCAGGGTGTGTCGCAGGACGA